CCTGTGCCAAAAAAAAAAAAAAAAAGAAAAAAACGTGCTACATGCAGGAGACCCGGACAGGACCACGAGTTTTCTGGGCTGAGAAGCAAGCCCTTAGGAATTATCCTCAGAAAAGAATTCCTAAGAAAGTGAAACAGTGCCTGTCCTCCTTTCTCACCACAAGATGGCGCACTGAGCCCACTCACAGACAGCCAGGTCCTGGCGTGGAGTGATGAGCCAGCAGCTCTAAGAAAGTGGTTGTTCACAGCGCTGCTAGCCCCGCAGATTTAAGGGAGCTCATCTCTGGTCACTGTGGATTGTAGGAAATTACCGAAGTAGCCACTGTGGAAACTTCCCCACAAATAAACTAGTTTTGCCCTTATATCTTATGATTCTCGGAGAACACTTTTCAAATACGCAGGGGACAAGTTCTGATTTATTAGTGTCATTCTAGTTATGCTCTGGGCAGCAATGAAACACATATCGAAACACCCTGCAACATTGTAACCTTGGAAGCTTGTCACTTTCTTACCTAAATGGGTACATCTGAAGAAGGGGGCTGTTTCCCTACATGGAGCAATTATTCTGTAACTTTAAGCCAAAATTAGGGACTGTCGCAAAAATCTGGAAACTGTGTCTTAGTTCAAATTAATAATCAACAGTACTGTGATTTTTTAGAGGATATGGATACAGCTGGGAAGAAATCCAAATTCACCATTATTGACCCCCATGCACTATGTACGGATGGTTAGAGTTAGAGTACAGAGTGGTATCGATGACTACCAAGAGATTTATGGATCTACTTTGTGGAGATACTAGAAATAGCAAGCATTTATGGAACATTTCCTGTGGCTAGTGACTGTGTTAAATGTTGATATGCATTTTTGTCTAGTCCTGATAAAAGCCTTGTGGCATGGGCATACGTACTGACTCAGAGAGGTGAGGTAACTTGGCCAAGGTCACACAGCTAGTCACGGAGGTACTTGGATTCATCTCCAGCTATATGTGACACCTAGTCCCTAGATCTTAACCTCCTTACCCAGAGACATCTAAGGAAACACAGGGCACTACTGAAGGTCCAATATCCGGGAGCAGCCATCCTGGAACTACAAGAGTAAGGGTAACATGTTTTGACTATGTCGTTTGCTTCCCACTTTTGTTTCTGCTACCTGTAGACACTCCATGGTGCTCTTCCATCAAGGTGAAGTATGGGGACGTGTACTGCAGGGCCCCTCCAGGAGGGTACTACAAAACGGCCCTGGGAACCAGGTGTGACATCCGATGCCGGAAGGGATATGAGCTGCACGGCCCTTCCCAGCTGATCTGCCAGTCAAACAAGCTGTGGTCTCACAAGGTCATTTGCAAACGTGAGTAGCCCAGCCCTGAGCCACATCCCCAGGAGGACAGTCAGAGCCAAAGTTCTTTTGTTCTGAGATCGGGGCTTTTCAGTGAACACTGAGGAGAAAAAGCCTCCTGTGAACTGAAGCCTGTGGGTTTCTAAACTATGGTTGAAGTGGGATGGCTCCCTTCAGAGAGAAAAGTGTGATCAAGCTGTTTGGGGGAACCGCTGCCCACCGCAGAAGAGATTTGCCCAGCAAATAGGAGATGTTTGTTCAGTAAGTGCTGGATCCTGAAGAGGTGTTCGGGATTTAAAGACAAATAAGACTCACACAAGCTCTGCCAGGAAGGGGCTCACAGAATAGTACACAGCAGGGAGCAGATGTAGACCACGAGGTAGTCAGACAAGGGCCCTGAGCCAGGATCTATGGTAGTATATTAAAGAAAAATACAATAAAAAAGAAGTGGTCTCTTAAGGAGGAGGGGCTTAGGGAGGTAGAAAAGAGTCACTGAAGCAGGATACGTACTACATGAAAGGTGAATCTCTCAAGAGAGCATTTTGGGGCCTGGCTTCGGACAAGTGTTCTCTCATTTGAAAGGGCACACACGGTGCAGCGCTAAGGAAGCACATTGTAGTTGTCTTTGTTATTCAAAACAGCCACCCCTTTGAGAATTAGTGTTTTCCAAGTACTTCACACACATTCAGATTTTCCAGAAATGCTCTCTATATGGGTGCCATTGCTTTAACTTCATTTTAGGAACACGGAGGCTCAAGTCTGCAGCCGTGTGATCCCTGGAGCAGGCAGACTATACAACTAGGTGACTTTCTGGATATTTAAGCAGCATTTTACCCAGATCTCCCTGATGCCCCTTTACCAGTTCTAGGTATCCATCCTCCAGCTTCTGAGTGCTTTGCTCCTTAAGACTTGCACTTCCACTTTCCAATTTCTTCAAAGGAATTAGAAACTGGAAACTGCTCTTTCAGAGCACTGCTGTCTCTCTCTCTCCCTCCCTCCTCCCTCCACCCTCTCTCACCTTACAAGGAAAAGCATCTCTCTGGGGCAGGCATTGCAGAAGACTGAAGGCAGGCAGACTTGGAGCTGTCATTCACCCTCTAGAGCTAGGGCAGCCGAGCAGGAGCTGACAGAGGCTGCCTGCCAGAGATCCCCCTTGCTTGGCTCCCTCCCTTACATGTTTAGCTTCACCTTCTCCTTCTTGTTCTCCCTGGGAGACTTACTGAACCACTGATTAACAAATCCTCATCCTACACAAATCTTCATCTCAAGGTATGCTTCTTGGAAACAGCCTAAGACAGATAGTAACCACCCTAAGCCTGTCTGGCATGAAACTTTGTGTCTCTTTGGTGTGATGTGCATATATCCAACCCCTAAGCTTCTCCCTATATGCTTATAGTTTCTGGATTCTGAAACTCAGTGGACAAAAATTAAGAAATACTGAATATCTGATTTTCTTTCTTTCTTTCTTTCTTTCTTTCTTTCTTTCTTTCTTTCTTTCTTTCTTTCTTTCTTTCTTTCTTTCTTTCTTTCTTTCTTTCTTTCTTTCTTTCTTTCTTTCTTTCTTTCTTTCTTTTCCAGAAAAGCGATGTCCTACACTTGCCATGCCCACAAATGGAGGCTTTAAATGCGCTGATGGTGCCTACTTTAACTCCCGGTGTGAATATTACTGCTCACCAGGATACACACTGAAAGGGGAGCAGACAGTCACATGTATGGACAACAAGGCCTGGAGTGGCCGACCAGCCACCTGTGTGGGTAAGAAAATGCCCTGGCTCTCAGGACAGTGCTTTGGGAGGAGCAGGGAGTGTTCCTATGGTAGATTTTAAAGCCAGCATCCGTATTCTGCATGTGAAGCATAAGCACTCAGCTCTGTTTTCAGTAGCTCTCTTCATACTTGGCTCCCTGGCTCAGCCTTAAGGCCTAACCCCAGTCTCTGTGTTAGAGCTGACTTCAAAGCTTATGGCTTCTACACAGCTTTTGTCTCTTTCTTGGGTTGCTTTTGAGGCAACTGCAGGCTGGCAGAATACAGTGTATAGTCTGATGGGTCACGTGGAGGTTCTGCCCTGTAGCATTGAGCAGAATTGTTGACAGTTGCAGAGAGTCCTGCAGAGAACATGTAAATGCATTTCAGTTGACAGACAATTCCTTTGTTGTTGACTGGTGCTCAGCAAGCACTCAGTGTGTTTAGCAGGAAGGGATTGAAATATTTTGCCTTACTCTGGGTTTTTCTGGGGCGGGACATCCAGTGTTCCCACAGTGAGGTGTGGCCCTGGAAGCAGCACCTGGGAACTTATTCGCAATGCAAATTATCACATTCCCCTTCTGAATCCAAAAGCCTGGTGTACTGGTGTTTTTTGAGTTGCTCCAAGTGATTAGGAACCATTGTCCCAAGGGGCTATTTACTCATAATAAACTGAGAGATGCCAGGATCTACTCTTAGAGAACATTCCAGTCGAATCACCCATTCTACAGATGAAGCCTGAGAGATCAGTTGATTTTCCTGAGCTTGCACAGAGACAAGCCTGAGACACTTATCTCCAGGCTCTCCCAGGTTTAAGTCTCTGAATTCCGAGATAGCGCTGGTCCTAGGCTCCAAGGCAGCTGGCCATGGGATCTTGGCTCCTCCCTGCTTGTATCTGTCCATCTTCCAGAGAAGTGTTTAGCCCAGTCTGCTAAAATGCTTTACCCCAAGGACTCCTTCCTGACTGTTCAGTGTCAGCACATTTACTTTAAGTGTAAGATGAAAATTGATGCTAACTCCTGGAGGCTAATGTCAGACGATTCTCCTGGCCTGGACTGTCTTCATAATGACAAAGCCATCTACTGTCTTTGACCACTGCTTTCGCTGGCAGCATTAGCTATTCTCATGATGAAGTCACGTGACCGGTGCGCTCTAGTCAAAGAATCAGCCTGAAGATGTGATCCAAACTGTTTTATATCAAATTCAGGGCCTAGACCATACTTTGAATCTATTTGACAAGAGCAATAAATGCTTCTGGAACCTTCCCAGAGGGAGAGAGAGGAACTAAGAGATGCCCTCCAAATTCAGAAGATTTATCTCATGGTTTTCCAAGACAAAGTTCAGGCAAATTTTGGGGGGATGGAGAATTGTGCATTAAATTGGGCGAGAGTGGCAAAATGGGGTGAAGCAAGCCCCAAGAGAGTTTTAAGCTCCCAGGGGAAATAAAAAAAGAAATAGATAAAGCAAGTGGGCAATGCTCTTTTTGATTTTGGTGACAGTCTAGGTGGTTTGTCGCCAACGACTTTTACTCCAAAGGTATCATTTACTCCTTTGGCTTTGAATGTATTAAATTAGTTTTATAAGTTTGTTTGTGTGTTGGCAAAGATAGGGGGTCCTTGAGCATAAGTCAGAGCCTCAACCTATTTTCAGAGCTGACACGTGGTGGCTTAGGAGGTCACAGGTTTCCATATAACCTCTAGCAGGTCATCTTGGCCAACATTGTGCTGAGCACTGAGAAAATCCGACCGGTTCTCTTCCAGGCTGGGAGGAAAGAAGGAACACTGGGGTTTCTTTGACTCCCAGGTGATCGGTTCAGTGGAATAGCTAATTTGAAAGTGCCACAAGTTCAAATTAATTCTCTTATTCTGACTTCGTTCTGGCAGGGACTCAAATTCATGCTCATTTTAGAAATGGATATAAATAATTAAATGTAGGAGCAAAATCGATAAAATACATACATACGTACCGCATTATAAATGGCAGGAAATAAAGTAGGCAAATAATCACTACTTCCATTGATACAAAAAAAGTTCTTTGGAATGGAACCACTTTAGTATTGGGGTGTATTATTTCCTTTTATTTTTAGTTATTTTTGATTACATAGAACATTGGACAGTTGGAATTAGAAGTTCTCATTTAAAGACTAGGTTTTGAGTAGACACATGAGCTGTCCTTTAGCATAATATAGTTTTCTATGCCAGAATGAGAAGAAAAAAAATAAAGATGGTTTTAAAGCAATGGATGAGCTGAGTGTGATGGCACACACCTGTAATCCCAGCACTCGGGAGGCTGAGGCAGGAGGATCACTGTGAGTTCGAGACCAGCCTGGGCTACATAGTGAGTTCCAGGTCAGTCTCAACTACATAGTGAAACCCTGTCTCAAAAATAAATAAATAAATAAATAAACAAATAAACAAACAAACAAATAAATAACCATGGATGAAGAAAACAGAGCAAATGTCTTTTCAGATGCAGAGCGTACCCTTTTAGTTTCTTCAACAAAAGACAATATACAAGGCAACTTGGTTTTTGGAATTGCTCACTTCTTATTTTGTATTTTCTACAGACCAGATGGAGATTTGCTAACACCAGTGAAGTTCTAGATAAAATACTTCTAATGGTTCACTTTCCTTGCTTCCCAACTGTCTGATAGATGGGTTTACCTGGTGACCCATAGGAACAATTGTTAGGCTGCAATGCAAGATTCAGCTGGTGATAAATTTATCATCACTGGGGCTAAACAGAAAGGTATCAGATGGTCTTAAATTATGCTGATGGGAGGAGGTTGACAAATACACATTCTTCTGCAAACTTTCAGGAGTCTAATTACAATTTTGAAAGAATTTGATAGGGATATTGACCCAATTTTTGCCTTACATGACTTGCCAGTGCAGTCTGAACAGCTACACTTCTAGTCGGGTACTGTAATATAAAGGAATGATTAGGGGATTTTTACTTCTTCATTCAGGTGAAGATGCTGACTTTTAATTGTAGATTTCATTACTTCCCTTCTTGCTTCTCTTGTTCTTTCTGGAAAGTTCTCAGAAAACTTATGGTGTCAAAGAAATAGAAACATTTTCCAGAGCCATCCATAGGGATTGTGCTGTGGCTGGGGAAAGCAAACAAGTGGGTGAATTTTAGTGACCAGGTGTGCTCTGCCTTTCAGAGTCACTTACTTCCAATGCCCCCATAAAAAACTCTCCTTTCTCCACCACCAGTCTCAAACTCATATTTATTTCAGAGACCTATTTCTGCACAGTAGACCACAAAGGTTTCAAAAAGCTGTCATCAATCCATGATTCTCTCAATTGGAAATCTGGGCAGGGCTCAGTGGGGATGGCTTATCTCTGCTATCTTTTGTAATGACTGAGGTGACTGACTAGGCCTGGAGGATCCAAGATGGCTTCGCTGAGATATCTGGCACCTCAGCTGGGGGAAGCTCAACTTGCTGGAGCCTGTCTGTCTGTCTGTCTGTTTCATTCTCATTCTTGTTCTTGCTCTTATCCTTTTTACATAGCCTCTTTATTCAGTTGTACTGCCTTACACGGCAGATGGCTTTCAAAGTGAAAACTAAAGGTGCCAGACGCTTGAAGAGCCTAAAACTGGAAATGGCATAGGGTAACTTTCCTTGCATTTTATTGGCAGGACTTTTTTTTTTTTAACTTTTCTCCCTGTTTCCACCACCTACCTTGTTAGACATGTTAAAGATTCCCAACTAAACAGTTCAACTGCCATAGTTGATACACTGCAGAATATTTGTTTCTCACATTTTCTATGCAGAGAGTGAAGTAGGTCTCAGAAAAGAGAGTGTATTGGACAGAGAGCAAGGCCAAGATTTTCTCTGGGGTTTCAGGGTTTCCACACAATAACTGGCTCTTCAGTAATTATGTTTCTATAGTAACTTTATTCATTTCATTCATAGAAATGGATTATAACATGTAAAAGCTGTGGTGGTCATGACTAGGGAATAATAGACTTAAGTCTCTTGAGCACTGGCTGGTGGACAGGCCAGTTGGTCTCATCAGCTGAGAGGTAGGACGGCTGCCTGAGGATGCATTAGAATCAAGTCTGGTTGTGAATCTTTTAAGGATTCATGGGGAAGGCAACCCCAAAACACTAAGTGAACAGCAGGCAGACCACAGAAGCATTTGGGTTATTAAAAGAAATTGAAAATATATAACAGTGTCTTTACAATCCAAGACCACAGAGAAATTCCAAGGGAGGAGATGGTTCCCACTCTACAAGTGGGGATGCTAATGTTACTCAGTCTAATGAATAGTTACGCAGATTCAATGAAATAATGGGGTGGGTGCATAGGAAGGATTCAGTATATATTGCCTATTCTTTGTGGTGATTTATTTATTCTTGCTTCTGGTTTGGAAGAGTGGGGCATCTGAAAAAGTAGGCCAGTCTCAGCTGGTCATTGTTAGCCAGACATTAGCAGGCTGTGGGAAGCACTGAGACTCTACGCATATAACCTACTTTGGAGCATGTTTGCTAACACTGTCAGTACATACTGTTGATACAGAAAAATAAAACAGCATCTTATGCACATGTTTAGTTTACCTGACTCAGAGACTGAGAATTTCTCATCTCTGACAGTATCTTTTCCATGAAAATATGGTAATTACACAGTATAATTCTACATGGAAATTCATACATTCTCTTTGGCCCCATTTCTTTTGCTTAAAGTATTTTCATATATATCAGTAGTTCTACTGAGGACTGAACCCAGGGCATTTGCACTGAATTATATCCCCAGCCCTGTTTTATTTTGAAACAAAGTTCTTGCTAAGTCATTAAGTTGCCCAGGCTGAGCTTGAACTTGTGATCCTTATAGATGTGTGCCACCAATGCTGGCTCATAATGCATATTTTTTAAAAATTAGGAGGCAACTGTATCTAACTATCAGACAGCAGGCATAGTGTACTTGTCTTTCTGAGTCACCCAAAGTTGTGAAATGCTTATCTGAATTATGAAAGTCTGTCATCTATCACCTGTCATAGCAAAAGGAATGGATTTTAAAAAATAACAATTGAAAATAGACACCTCGGGGGCCGGGGATTTAGTTCAGTGGTTCTGCCGCCTTCCTTGCAAGGGCAAGGACTCGAGTTCAACCCCCAGTACCAAAAAACAGCAACAGCAGCAGCAACAACAACAACAACAACAACAACAACAACAAAACCAAAAATGAAAATAGACACCTTGAGTGCATTAAAAGCACCTTCCATTTCACCATTACACTAATATTATCAACTGTAAGGGGCATATTTTTTTCATATTTTAATATCTCTGAAATTGGGATGCATCTCACAATCAGTAGTGACTTAGATTCAGTGAAATGTGGTAGTTATTCAATTTAGAATTAATGTATTATGACTGTTAATTCACACTTCATTGAAGCATGATACAGATTGAAAATAAATTTGGATAGCTAAAAGTAAACTTGGTTAAAAAATTTTTCATAATTTCTAGCCCTAAATCGAATGAGAAGTTATTATAGAAGACACAGGAGAAAGTATATGAAGAATTTTACTTGATATGTTTAACTCTCAAGACGTTTGTGATTCAGGATCAAAAAGATACTTAATTTTCATTTAGGTTGTAATAGTGCTGATAATCATTGGTTGATCTGTAAAGCAATGGAGTAGTGAAGGTCATACACTCTCTTTAAACATATTCTGTTTAATTCTTGATGGTACTGCTCAGAACCATTAAGTAGAATTTTCAAGTTTGAACTTCCTCTTGTGATTTCCCTTCAGCTAGAAGATGAAGTACAACCTTGTGTGGGATTGACATTTAAAAATTTTTCTAGCCTTTCTTATCAACTCATGCTGATAGTGAGAGACACAATTTCTACTCTTGGGTAGAGAAAGTTGAGAAATTTGGGAAGTCCTTGAAGGGACATAACCCCAGGTAAAACTACTGTCTCAGAACCCTAAACCATAGGTGTGGTCCAGTGGCAGTTGGAGAAGTGGACTCACACAGATATTCATTGCTATTTTGGCACCAGGTATAACAATTACGGAAAGGAGAACTTGCTCAGTGTAGTGCTCTGATCTGTGTTACAATTCACATCACCACTGTCTGCACGCATAGTCTTAAATCATCTAAGCTCTCTGAGATTCAGTTCGCACATCATGAAGTGAGAGAGTTGTGGGGGGCTCCTTTACACCTCCATAGCATTCACTTTTACCTTGCCTGGGGCAGTGCCATTTTCCACCGTGATTTATATTTCAGATGTGGTGACATAGTTCCCCTCGTAGACTGCAAACTCTTTGACAAGTCAGGAGCACCTGATTTTCTTGCATCTACAATCTGAATAGTTAGAATGAGGCCTTGGATGATAGGCACTTGTGAAGAGTTGTTGCTTTGAATTGAATCAACTACATGATACCTAGGGTATGTTTCTTTTTCTAGTATTCTGTGATGCTGGGGTTTTGTTTTGTTTGTTTGATTTTTAGTACTGGAGATTGAACCCAAGGCCTTCACACTGAGCTATATTTCCAGTCATTTTTAAAATTTTAATTTTTTATTTACAGACAGAATCTCGTCAAATTGCTAATGGCTCGGCCTGGGCTCAAACTAGCGATCCTCCTGCCTCACCCTCCTACACTGCTGGGGTTTCAGGTGTGAACCATCACACTCAGCTCTGTGACGTTGTTTTTAAAGCAGGATGGATTTGTTAAAGCTGAATGACACCTGGCTTCAACTGAGTGATTTTAGTGTTACCAGGCCAATAGGCAGAGTTCGCAGCATGGAAAGGAAGAAGCTGTAGCTAATGCTATATACCCTACGAGATACAGTACTCCACAAGGCCAGAAGATTACAGATTTAGTCCTGTGTGTGAGAGTACTTACACAACCTTAAAAGCTCAGCAGGGCAGAAAGGGCAAAAGAGAAATAGAGAGTGAACAGATTCTTCCTAACTGGAGAGTGAGCCCCAATTTGATAGGGTATATCAATCATATCGATGGTGACAATGTTTTGGGTTATATTTTCAGATATAGAACCTCCTAGAATCAAGTGTCCCAGTGTGAAGGAACGCATTGCGGAGCCCAATAAGCTGACAGTTCGGGTGTCCTGGGAGACCCCAGAAGGAAGAGACACAGCAGATGGCATTCTTACTGAGTAAGCAAAATTTGGCAGCTGGAGTGATCTTATCTGTTTTCTGTGAGACATTTGTGACCCAGAGTGAGGGAGTGTATCTATTGTACTCTTATTTCTATTTTTAAATGCAGTTTCTCTCGTCACCATCTAACATACTATATACACTACTTAGACAATTGCCTGTTTACTTTAGTGTGTTCACTGTCATATCCCTAAAGGCTAGAACTGTGGCTGGCATATAGTTAGCACTCAGTAAATATTTTCTGAAGGAAGAAGGGAAGAGGAAGAGCAGAAGGAGGAAGAGGAAGCCAGTTTGTAAGTTAGGGATAGAATCACCCCCATTGCCTGCCTAGAGGGCACTTACTCATGCCCACACGCCTTTTGAAGGCATCTCCTGCACTGGGAAGCCTTCTGTGTCTCCCAGACAGAGCCAGCGGCTGCCCACTGTGTGCTCTCTGGGTACGGTTAGAGTAAGGGCAAACCTTTTAGAGCTTTCCATGATAAGCAGCTCGCGGTGGCACATGTACCATAGGTTTGCCAGCACTGGCGTAGCACAAAACTTTCCCACCCCCCCCTTTTGGGGTTGCACCTTTTTTAAAAATTAATTTTGATTTTCAATTTATTTTTAAAACATTTGACAGCAGCAAACACAGAAGCTTCTAAAAAAGAGACAGTGTCTTCTGTTTCTTTCCTACTTCAACCCTTGTAAAACAGGTGGTTTCCTTTGGTGAAGTTCAGCTGCATCTCCTAATTATCATTTTGGCCTCTACCCCAGAAGTACGTTCTCAGAGGCCATGACTTTTTGTCAGCATGCTCCCATCTGTGCCTTGAAGTACACATCCCAGTTAGACCACCCACACTTTCCATCTCTGGACAGAAGGATGGCTCTGACTCATCTCCTGCTGAGCCATACTGAAAGACTTACTAAAATCCTATCAAACCAGTCTGTGCACAATGAAACAGCTCTACGCAGTTATTACCAATAACAAATGTCTCCTAGTGAGAGGAGATCAAGTCTGTCACTCGGCCTTGTGTTCATATATGAGGTGCGATTGGAAACTACAATGAATACTTCAGTTTTTAAAAGTTACAGTAAATGACACATTGCCATGAACTCTCCTCAAAATGTTTCCCGTTTTGTTTTCAAACTCACTTATCTCATCTCATCACTCTTGCCGCTTTCTGAAGCGACTCTGGAAATCCTCTTTTGTAAGTGTCTTTAGGAGGCGTGATAAAAAACATGGTGAAGGCTGATGCCATGTGCCACCCAATGGGAAGGCAGGTTTATAAAAACATTACAAGGAGTCTTTGTTCATGAAAGGTAAATATTTTCAATCAATTCTTGACACTGAGGCACATATGGCAGCCCAACTAAAGATACTCAAGGGAAAAGGACTTCCAGAACTTCAGAAATTGGCGAGAATAATGGGGTAAGTGTATTGGAGGTGAGGGAAATTTTTTCTTTCCAGTTGAGTTTATTGGTACATTTTAGGTATACAGTACAGTCACATGCATCATTGGGGTCTTGTACCTCTACATGACAGGTCTTGTTTCTCATGTTTTCCCATTGTCCCTGCCCTCCCTTCACCCCCTCCTCCCCTCCCCATCTACAAACATTTTATTTCCATCTTTCCATTATCTCACATTTTTTTCTTTTCCCTTATTACCCTTCCCCTACCCACCCCACCTTCCCTACACCTTTAGCCCCTTTCTTCCCATTTCACCATGTCAGTAATCTTATTACGATCTTATGTATTATTACAGTTTATTCACACCAGAGAAACTATTTGGTAGGGAAATTTTTTAGGGGAATTAATGCAGTATATCTTTTACTATAATAATTTTTAAATTTAAAAATTCACTGTAGTTTTTTTTACCATATCCCATATTCTGTTCTTGCATCTTCCCAAATGTATCATCTAATTAAATAACAGTACTACTTGTGTTTCTCATTGTAACTTTGTAAAGACATAGTTTCACTATTTGCTGTCTATGATGGTGGACATCTATAATACCAGTTACTCAGGAGGCTGAGGCAGGAGGATCTTGATCTCAAGGCCAGCCTGGGAAACCTAACAAGATCGTGTCTTTTTTTAAAAATTATTTGCTATCACATGCATATGTCATAAATCCCTTAGGAGAAACTTAGGGTAATGGGGATTAAAAAGCAGGCCACTAAATACAAACACACACACACACACACACACACACACACACACACACAGAAAAACAGTAAGTCAGTTGACATCGTCAGGGATTGGGCGTTATTTATCTTGGTCTCTTTGGTGTCTAGTGCAATGTCTGGCCCACGCTTTAGCACATAGTAAGTTGTTATATTTTTGAAACCATTCTTGTTGAAATTCTGTATAATCAACGCAAAATATTAAGTTACCAGATGCTTCCATTTATCTAAAAGCTTTGCAAAGGTATTCACCCTGGTATTTTGCAGGTAACCTGCATATTATAGTTAGAAATGTGACATTTTAAAAGAGCATCTTAGTAGCCCTCTGCCATTCCCTCTGGTCAGGGAAACTGTCTGCCTCCCAAGTTCCACCACCCAGAGCCCACACAGGCTTGGAGTGGATGTCACAGTAAAGATGTGCCAGTGGGCTGGAGGTCCCAGAAGGCTGCCTTGGCCCTTTTCCCATTCTTGCTTTTGGCTCCTTGCTTTCCTGGCATTTTTCCCATGACTTCTTTCCCCCAAGTCTTAATCCAAGCTACCATTTGCCTCTAAGGAAAAGGTTCTTGTGTGGCGTTCTGAGACAAGCGCCTCTTTCAAGCTCTCTTAGCAACTCTTTCTGTTATTTGCATGGCACAGATGGAGTCTCAGAAATGTTAGCAGCCACTTAGGTTTGAAAGATTGTTCCCTTTAGGTTTATCCAAATTTATATTGTGCTTCTTAAGGGTCTTAAGACATCTAAAGCTAAGAGTGGCATATCTCTAAGTGGTGGGCTTTCTGACACTTACCCAAGACCCCTTCCTTCATATCTTATAAATGGCCACCTCATCCACCTGTATGTAAGGCTTTTCTCAGTAGTGACAGTGATAATACCACATGTCCGTTGTTAACAAGTATTCTCATCATTTCTAAGCACTTAGTAAGATGTAGAATTATCTAGATATAGAAAAACATGGAAAACCTGGCATTTTATCACGTTGTAGCTATTAGTTTTCTCATCAGATAGCAAGAAGAGAGACACTGGAGTCACTCCAGCTGTGTGATCTTGGCAAGTTCCTTAACCTTTTGGTGCCTCAATTTCTGCATCTGTGAAATGGGGAGAATATGACCTACCTAAAAGGGTTGTTGTGAGGATCAAAAAAACTAAAACAGAGGAAAACTTAAGAGATTCTATTCATCACAAAATCTTTGTTCTGGTCAAACTGTCCCCGTGGCTCCCCTTCAGTATCCCTACTCCTGTGCAGAGTGGGGCAACTGCTTTTTAGGTCTGTAAGAATCATCGTTGATGTTCCCGTTTTTTTTTTCTTCTCCCTTCTAAGTGTTATTCTTAAAGGCCTTCCCCCAGGCTCAAATTTTCCAGAAGGAGATCACAAGATCCAGTACACAGTCTATGACAGAGCTGAGAACAAGGGCACTTGCAAATTTCAAGTGAAAGTAAGAGGTAAGAGTACTATTTATGGGATTCTCCCCCTCCAGAGAAGAGCCAAAGGGAAAAGGGAAGCAGGCTCTCATGCAAAAACTCTGAATACCCTCTGTAGGGATCCTTGCCAGCTCTGGCTCAGTCTCTGGGGGTTCTGGGGGAAGTGACACAGATTTCTTTGATAGGGTTCAGTGCTGGCAGATTATACGAGACATTCCATGGGTCTGGTTTCTCAAGAGCCCATTGATGCCCAGGAGGATGTTACTCAATAACTTGCTATCCCTGAGTGTGGTTAACCAGCTAAAGCCTACAAGCCCTTCTAAAATCAGGGTGGTTAAGAGCCTCCTAGTGTGGACTACCAGAAGACCTTGTTCTTTATGTTCCAAACTATTGGTCTACCTGAAAAAAAAAATGTTTTTGAGGATTGTTTTATGCCTCATGGCTTTCACTGCTAATTACTAATCATCTTTACCCTTTAGTGTTCTGAGCTCAGCCTCCTCATCTGTAACACAGGACTGAAGCAATTGATAGTGGTCTTGTTGATGTGAATAGTGACCATTCCAAGGAACACTCAGTGACAAAATAGTCGTTGCTACCCCCTCACTCATTTCACAGGAGAATATAAAAACCTTGTTGCAAAACAGAGGCCTCTGAGGCCTTATCTTTTCTGGTTACTCTGTAGAAGGGAGCCCAGCGCTAAGATTCTTATGTGTTTATGTCGCACAGTCAGACGCTGCGGCAAGCTCAATGTCCCAGAGAATGGTTATATGAAGTGCTCCAGTGATGGTGACAATTATGGAGCCACCTGTGAGTTCTCCTGCATCGGTGGCTACGAGCTCCAGGGTAGCCCTGCCCGAGTATGTCAGTCCAACCTGGCTTGGTCTGGCACCGAACCCACCTGTGCAGGTATGTGTGTAGCCCTCTCTCCAGCCTGCAGCAGAACTTGAAGACTGCTTGACTCTAGATTTCAGTACAGGAAAGAAGATTTCATTTCACGCACTTTGAAAAGTTTGTTGCTGTCCCTTATCACCCAAGTGGGCGAACATAGTTCCTGCTGAACCTCATCTTACCCTGCCTTCCTCCTTTTGCCTCTGACGGTCTTCTGATTTTCCTATTGTGTCTTCTAAGGAGAAAGCTAGGGAACTGAGTGCCAGCCTTTTGTGACATTATGAATCAAAAAAGTCTGCTCTAGTTACCTCTGTTGGTCTCTTCTGCAGATGCAGGATCTTACAAAGCCAGTATGCTGCTGATTATGGACAATATAATGCCTATTTTGCAGTGCTAGCTGGAAAGCCGTGCAGACTCTGAGCATTTGAAATCTTTACTCCTATGTAAAGTAAAGAAAATAATCCCTCACTTACCTCTCTAGTGATTGAAAGGATTAAATGAAGCCATCCATCAAGCAGTGGCATAATGCAGTGCCTGGCACAGGCTATTTTAACTGGGCAAGGTGGCAAGAATAGAGTAAAGTCTGAGATATCTAGTAAATTTTGGAGATTCTTATCGATATACTTTTTTCTCATTTCCCCATAATTTTTCATCTTTATTCTCCCCTTCTGATCCCAGTCATTCAGTTAGTAGAGAGAGAGAGAGAGAGAGAGAGAGAGAGAGAGAGAGAGAGAGAGAGAGAATGAATATCTCTTATCTATCATCCCATCATCTGAATGCCTTAGGATCTTTAATATCAAACATTACATACCAGAAAGAACATACCAGATACCAGTCCCACACTCCCCAGCTAATAATTCCATGGCCATCATGCTAGCATTGAGGCCTGGGGTTCCTAGGCCTGCATGGCACTAGCTACATGTGGCTCTGTACAACTTGAAGTGAGATTATTCTAAATTGAGATGGGCTAAGTATAAAATATGTACCAATTTTAAAATCTTAGTACAAAGAGACTATACCTTTTACATTAACTACAGGTTGAAATGAAATATTTTGGATGTATTGGCTTAAGTAAAATATATTTTAAAATTATTTTCATTTATTTCTTTATATCTGTTTAATGAAGCTACTAGAAAAATTAAAAGTGTGGAGACTGCCATTATATTTCTGTTGAGTAGGGCTATCCTACACTCTGAGTGCCTGAGGCGAGGACAGGGACAAGGACTCTGTGCTACTCAGTGTGATGACCTAGGTGCGTGGAATAGAGGCTGGCACATAACAGGCACTTACTGCATTTTGGCTGAATGAATGAACGTGTGAATGAACAAATACTATAGTGCAAATCTTAGGTTTGAAATAGGAACACAGGGCTGGGAATTTAGCTCAGTGGGTCTGCTACCTGCCTCGTAAGTATAAGGTCCTGAGTTCAATCCCCATTACCAAAAAAAAAAAAAAAAAAAAAAAGAAAAAAGGAAACAAGAAAAAAAAAAAAAAAACAC